TTGACTCTGCAGGGAGTAACCATGGACATTCAGTGCATGAGTGGTGCCTGCTCCCTTGACATGCTGCCAAGACCTAAGCCTAAATTTCATGCCAGCTACCCTGTCCATGCCCTGGCTCTGCGTTCAGGCTGTGCTTCTTCAGCACAAGAGGAAAGCAGCACAAGGCATAGCACAACAGCTAGCAAAAGTGCAAGACACGTGGAAGAATGTCTCTTACATCCTGACAGATGTCCTTTCTGTACATCTGCAGAAAGGTGGTCATCCACTTCCCAGCAGCACGCACATGCACTCCTTTGGCTCTCTGGAAGGTCTCCTTGATGGCCATCATGAAGTCGACAGTGCATTCTAGAGGAAAGTTTCTACACACGATCTGCAGAGAAATGAGAAGCAAGAGAGATCCTATCACTGCTCTGCAGCAGCTCTTCAAAACATAAAGCAGTCTTGAGGGCATTCTTAGTTCAGCAGCTTGCCAGTCATTCATGCAGCAATCATAATGCTCCTGCTGTTTATACAGAAGGCAGCTGAGCCTTCTCTCAGCTTCTCTACCCATGGTGTTTGCTTACATGCAAAGCCTACCTCCCAGCAGCCACAGTCACACACAAACACACATGGAGTCAGCTCCTTGCACTGGTCACCTGAAGGCCAGGCATAGCTCAGAGCCTTCTGCTACTTGCTGAGAAAAGCAGTCTCAGGGTGACAGCTCATTCTGCTGTCATCAGTGCAGGGTTGTGCAGAAGCCCATGCACTGAGATCCCACCAGCCTTTTTTGGGTCCATTTACCCTTGCCATTTTGGATGAGGTCTGGAGCCGGCAGATGGTGCTGCAGGCTTGCAGCCCCTCACACAGGCTCCTGATGTCTCCTGTCTCAATGTCTCTGTTGGTTGCTTTGGCTAGAAAGAGCACAGGGAGAAAAGGGAAGTCATGCTTCTGGAAATGGAACTGCTTTCCAAGGGGAAGAAAGACAGAGGACAGGGGGGGGACAAGAAGAGAGCTGTGCACAGCTCCTCTCCCTCCTGTAAACAGGATCCAGCCCATGGGGCTCTGGTAGTGCTGCAGAGGAGGGCAGAGGGCTGGCGCACACCTGCTCTACTCACCTTGGATTTGGAGAAAGGAGCTGAGACAGGTGACAGCCAACTGGTGGGAGGTGGGCATGGGGTCACATGTCAGAGGTGCCAGCAATCCCACCAAGGAGCCAAAGTGCTCATAGGCATCTCCTCTCTACAGGGGTGAGAGGCAGGGATAAAGCTGTAGGTGGCCCCAGCTTCTCCTGCCTGTGCCTTCCCCACACTGTGACACAGCATGCACAGCTGAATGGAGCTCGCCTTCTAGCTCAGGGGCACGGGGGAGGGAGCAGAGGGCATGTGGTGGGGCTCTTTACTCATTTGAAACTCTTCACAAACAGTCAGCAGCTGGGAGCAGGTCTGCAGGCCTTCTTGCGCTCCCACACGTTGTCTGATGTCATAGATCTCTGCAGGACCTGTGGCAGAGCATCTGTCTCACTGAGGACGTCTCTTCTTTCCCTTCCTGCCACCCCTCTCCCTGTCCCTCCTTTCCTGATGCTTTCCCTCAGGGCCCCCCACCTCACTGAGCACCAGCACTGCTGCTCCTGCTCTCTGCAGACACTCCTGCCTCCTAACCCAGGAGCTTTTCCTTGGCTGTGGCTTGCCCCAGGCATGGGCTCCTGCCTTTCCCCCTGCAGGGCCCATTTCCCTGCCCATTTTTGAGCTTGCAGTGGGCTGCATGTCAGCAGGAGATTTCTCCCCCTCTGACCGCCTTCTCAGTCCCCAGATCTCTGTCCCCGCTATTGACAGTTACCGTGCTTTCTCCCTTACCCCCCCACATACTCACATGGACTATGTTCTGGAAAAAGCCACGGGTGGGCTCTGTCTTGAGCAGAACTTCCATGAGCTGGCCCAAAGATTTCAATGATGTTTGCTGAAGCTGAAAGCAGAAGAGGGGATTGAGGTGTGGCATCATGGCTGCTGCCAGAGCATAGGTTGTGTGTGCTTAGGTAGGGCTCTGACCAAGAGGTGGCCGAGAAAGTTATGATAGGTTACCTGCAGGCATTGAGCTGCTTGCTGTGACTTTCTGATCTTCAGCATCATCTCCGCTGAAGGGTGCATCACAATGTTCTTGCAGCACAGAACCAATATTTCATGCATATCCTTGCTTTCTAAAGAGGGCTTCAGCTTGCTGACAGGAGGAAAAAAGGAGAAAGCAGCGAACCACCTCCTGCTCTGAAGGGAAGGAGACTCCAGGTCTCCCTTCTCTTCCCTGCCAGGGAACAGAAGCACCAGGGCCTTTCTCCCTGCCCAGAATCTCAGCTTCTCTGGGCACAACAGCCCAGCTATCTCTGCTGTAGATACAGCTCCTCCCCCCCGCCCCCTCCAGGCCTTTGGCAGCTATCCAAAATGGGGACCACCATCCTGCCTTGCAACCCCAGACCTTACCTCAACTGCTCCAGGGCCAGAACCAACTTGAGGGGCACTGGGGAGACAGGGATTCCTGAGCAGTACTTCTTCAGCAAGTCCTGCAAGTCCCAGAGAGACAGTGTCAAAGTGGGCAAGAGGCACACAAGAGCTGTTCTGTCTGGCCCAGAGACAGATACAACTGCCACACACCAGCCCCATCACTCCCACATTTCCCACAGTGGCACTGCAGGATGCAGCATCTCCACGGCTGCTGGACCTCGCCTGCTGCCCAGCTGCTGCCTGCCAGCACCCAAGGTCCCCACCAGCTGGAGACGTGGCTGAAGGAGACCTTTATGCCTCCAGAGAAGCAAGCCCCATGGCACAGCTCAGAACTCTACTGCAGACAGCCCTGTCTCTAGGCACTCACCATCAGGATCTCCAGAAGCTTGCCCTTCAAGGAAGGGTTAAAGCAGGCAGAGTCATCCACAGCTTGCAAGGCTGAGCTGAAGTCCGTGATGCTCTGCACCAGCGCAAGGTTGTTCTGCAAGTCCTGAGGCCCAACAGAGAAGAACATTCTTTGAACTGTGGGAAGGGCTGAGGGCTGCAAGGGGGACACATGTGGGCAATGCTAAGGGAAAGCTTGGATCTTCATCTGGGCACAGATGGTCCCTCAAGGGACCTTTGAAAAGAGAAGGCCCATCTCAGCATTCCCCCATTTGGAGGGGCTGCATCAGGTGCTCAGACACCCTAGCACGCTTCAAGTTCTCACCTGGCAGCTGCAGCCTGATGCCTGCAGCATCAGGACGTTGCCCACGATGTCTCCCTCCAGGTGGACAAGCAGCTGTTCCTTGGAGGCACGCAGTGCCAAGCTGCCATGAGCGAGCATGAGAGCACTGTGTGTGGCATGAGCTCTCGTGCTGTCCAGCTCCATCTTTGTGGGGAGAAATGCCTTGAGACACTTGCTCCATGGCCTCCAGTGCCCCGCGATGCACCTGTGCTCCCAAGGCAGGAGCTGCTGCAAAAATAAGGCAGAAGAATGCCAAGATAGAAACCTGTAATACTTCACCTTCTTGCGCCTGGAAATCCTCACATTCCGGCCTTTACACAGCCTGGATGCAAACACGGTGAGCGTGTCCAGGACTGGGTGGAAGTTGCCTTCAGCAGCATGGCTGAGAAGAGAGATTATTCCCTGCACAAAAGAACAAGGAGCAGTTGGCGCAGGCCTGAACCTACTGGTGCGGCCAACCAAGGTGACCGGGCCGGTCCTTGCCTGAGGGAAATGGCAGCAGTGAGGAGATCAAAAGGCCTGGAGCAGGGCCAGGAGAAGCCCTCGGCCCCAGGGATGGAGCAGGGATGCTCACAGAAGCTGGAGGAGAGGAGAGCTCACCTGGGCCTCCGATGGCTCCTCCGCATTTGCTTCCTCCAAGTGCTGCAGCAGCTTCTCTTGGACGTGGAGGACTCCCTTACAAGCTCCCAGTGCTGTCCCCAGAGCCTTGTACAGGAAAGCCTGATGGGAAGGGAAGGAAGAAGCTGAGATGTGGCAGCAGCCTGACCTGCTGGGAGAGGGCCAGGTGGGAAGGACCCACTTCCTGGGAGTCACTGAGAGCAGCTGCAGGGCTGAGCTTTAGCAGCCTCCAGGCAGACTGCAGGAAAAGGCCCTCTGGGGGGCACAGACCAGGGAAGCAGCATGAGCAGCCCACGTGGGCAGAGCACCAGCCGCAGCTCCAGCCCCAGTAGGGCACCTGCAGCTGAACTGCTGGGTAGAGCCAGGGGGAACCCACCTTTTCTCCAGAGCTGCTGGGAGAACTGCTCAGCCACCGGCTCAGCTCGCAGCTCAGGGCCTCGATCCAGGCCTCATCAATGATGGTGTCCAGCGACGCCCTCAGGAACTGTTGGAGAACAGGAGAAGCCAAAGTTCCCTTGCCCTCTGCCTCTTCCCTCGCTCCCAAGTTGCTGCAGACTTCTGGGGAGAGTGTCTGCAAGAACAGCCTTTCTCCCAGCTGCCCCAGCATTCCCTCCATTAAAGCCGCCTGCCTCTCTTCTCCTAAGCCCTCCCCGGGCTTGGGACAGAGAGGAACAGGCAGCACCACAAAGGTGTGCAGCTGCTCCGCTGCAGCATTTGAGAGGCTGTTCCTGTCCTGCAGTGGCTCATATGGGAGCAGGGCTCCTTGAGGCAGGCAAGCACTTCTCTGCACCACGCCTCCCAGCACTGCTGTACCTTTAGCAGACGGCACTCCCACTCTGCAGGGTCCGGGAAGCTCTCATCTTTCCCTGCACAGCAATAGGAAGCAAAAGACCTTTACTTGGGATCAGGTCACAAACGAAGAGCTGCTGCAAACTTGGCTTGGCCAGGGCACTCGATGCTGCCAAGCTGGGACCCACACTCCCTCCACAGTGTCCCTGTCCTCAAACACTGTCCCCACAGGAACGCAGAACTAACTGCTCAGACTGTCATGTCCCTGCTGTCTGAGGGGACATGAAGGGCCCATCCGTGTTCTGGAACGGGCAGATCCCTGGGGGCAAAGGTCCCTGGGCCTCAGCGCTGTCTCCCTGGAATGGGAACAGCAGCAGAGCAAGCACCGGGCTGCAGGAAACACTTCCCCTCTGCCATGCTATAGAGCTGCATTTTCACTCCCCCCCTCCTTCCCTGCCTTGGCCTCTCCCTCCCCACCAGCGCTTTTTACCTTGGAGACACTGCAGCAGCAGGGGGATCTCAGCAGCCCACATGGCCCCCACAGCTCTGTGGAACCTCTTGTGGAGGTTTTGCATCAGCAGCAAGGCAGCGACTTGGAGTTCACTGCCTGCAACAGGGCTCCCTAACACCACCTGAGCGAGAGCAAGGAGAAGCAGGGTCACTTCTGCAGCAAGAGCAGAGGGAAGCAGCTTGGCTCTGCCCTGACAGGCAAGGAGCAGCCAACAGCTTTGCCCATGGCCATGCTGCTTCCTCCTGGGGGGGGGGGGCTCCTCGCACTGGCCTCTGGAGCATCTACTCACCAACAGGCGTGCCAGCAGTGTCTGGGGAGTCAGCAGTGGGCCTGCAAGGAGAAAGAAGTGCTGAGTAAGACTCCAAGACACTCCATGCCCTGCCACAATCAGCTCCTCTGTCCCTTCTGGGTGCTAACACAGGTCAGCAGAGCTCAATGGGGGAGTTTCTGCTCCTACCTTGAAACATGGAGCTGACAAAATGAGGATCCAGATCTGCTATCTGCCGTCCTGTCAGGTCCTCTCTCTCAGCCAGGGCTTGGACACAACGGGAGACTGGAATCAGCATGCCCATGTACTGGCACCACAAACAGCAACAGCCACGGCCACAGGAGCTGTAGGGAATGAGGCAGTTGAGCATGTCAGCATTCCTGCCTCTGCTCAAAGATGAAGAGGACTCAGTGAGTTTCCCTGAGTCTTGTGTGCTTCAGAGCACGTTGGAGGAGGGACCTGGGGTGTTGGAATGGGATGAGGAACACGTGATGTGAAGGCAAGGAGCATCAGGAGGGCCTCTCACAGAGACATCCAGTGACTCCAGGATGCCCATGCACAGCTCTTGGAGAGCTCCTTCTTCCTTGGCTTCCTGGGCAGAAAGGTCTCCGGCTGCCTGCACAACAGTGGTGTTGAAACACCGGTTACTCTCAGTTCTCAGGAGCCTCTCAGGAGGCTCAGGTGTGGCCCCACCGGAGCTTCTGTGCCAGCCTCTGACAGCATGGGTCTTCCAAAAGAAGGTGCTGCCTACTGTCCTTACCCTTCTTCCTGTGGCACGGCTGAACTCATTGAAGATGTGTCCCACCAGATCCCAAGCTGAGCAGCTCCGGGCGTTAGTGCTGAGCAGATCCTTGATGAAATACAGAACAGCCCTCCTCACCTGCAGGGGTCAATTGTGGGTGTGATTTTCCTGGTCAGAAGGCAAAGGGAAGCCACCTGCTCATCGGGGCAGCCCTTTGGGCATGAGCAGAGACAGCAAGAGCAGAGGTCCATGCACAGCACAGGGACCCGTCCTCTCCTCTCTGCCTGCTCTTCCCACAGGAGCCGTAGTGACAATGTGGTCAATGCCCCAGCAACCTCCCTGGTCACCCCTGCCCTGTCCGTGTCAGTAGGAGCATCACCACCCTGCAAACCCCCCTGCAGGGGGTTGGACTCGATGATCTCTGGAGGTCCCTTCCAACCCCTACAATTCTGTGATTCTGTGATTCTGTGATGATACAACTCCAATTTTTTAACAACAAGCTACACCCCAAAAGCACTTTCTTTTCCCAAAAGAGCTCGCCCGGGTCCTGGAGTCATTGCACACACGCTGCACAGCCTCTGCAACCTCGGGCAGCATCTCTGTCATCACAGGCTCTGCAAGAGATGCACAGAAACATGCGTGGAGGCACAACCCAGATGGCAAAAGGGATCCCTGGAAGTACCAACCCGTGGTACTTACCATCAGACCAAACCAGAGCACTGAGCAGACCCAGGGCTGCCACACGTCCAGCCTCCCACTCATCGCCCAGCTGTGACTGCAGAAACAGGAGCGTTTCCTCTGGGCAGATTCGGGCTGCAGGAAGGAAATCCCACACTATGTTAGCGAGCAACTCATGTCCACTTGTGAGGTTTGAGAGAGGTTTTGGCCAGGGCTCCGGCAAGCATCGCCAAAGCTCCTCTCCTTACCCTGCAGCAGCATGCAGCGGGTCAGCTCTCTGCTATCAGCCTCGCTGTGCTGCTTGGTGTCATCAGAGAGCTGTGGGAACAAGGTCCATTTGAGAAAATCACATCAGAACTGAGGATGGAAAAGACACTGTGCTGCCAGCTCTCATCTCCCTTGGCACTCTCGGGAAGAGGACACACACACAAAACCCAGCCTGCCCCACAGCATTCCTAGGGGCACACGCATGGCTCTGGTGCAGCCTTGGGCAAGCAAGAGCTAAGGCTGAGCAGCCATCAGAGGCTCGGAGCTTTACAGTCCTCCTGAGATTTAGCCAAGAGAGAAACAGCTGTAGGTGCAAGGATAGGCTCCTCTTACCTGGTAGAACACGGCAGTGGTGATGTCCAGAAACTTGTCCTTTGGGATGACGGACTCAACTCCCTCTAAGGCCTCCAGAAAGATAGTGAGGCTCTGCAAGAGACCAGGAGAGCCACATCTAGCCACCTGGGAGCAGAAAACTGTTTCCCAGTGGTTTGTCTGCTGGGAGAAGCTCCTGCACAGGTGTTCTTGTTTGTGCCCCCTCCCAGCAGCACCGAGAGACTCTCTATGCTCTCAACTGAGCCATGCTTGGGCATTGTTTGCAGGCATTTCTCACCCAGCAGCCCTCTTCTCCCCCACCAGATGCAACTGGATGTGGTCCTCCCAGTTGTTAGCACAGAGCTCCTCAGGCACTCAGAGCCCCACGGTGGTGTTGGTGAAGCCTCCCATCCCCAGGAGATGAGTCCAGTGACTCTTGGCTCCCTCCTGGCTTCTGTCCACGCGTTTCCTTCCTTACTGAAGAACTCAGGAAGCCTCAGACCTCCCTTGAACACCTGTTCCTTCTTTCTCCAACTGCTCTCTGCCTCCTCCCGCATCCCCCTGATCCCTCATGGCACTTGTACGGGCTCCACACTGAGCCCTGTGCAACATCTCACCTTGGCCATGATGGTGTCTTGGACATCCTGACATGGGTGCACGAGTCAGAGGAGCTGCTCCCAGACGTGCTCTCGGTGCAGCTCCTCTTGCAGGAGGACAGCCATCATGGCAGTCACAACCTCGAGGACGGCCTGTTTGTCCTGGAGATGGATGGCAGAGGCCTGGCACCAAAGACTGAAGGTCTGCCCTTCCTACAGAGAGGGCTTTCTCTTCCCCTTCCCCTTCCCCTTCCCCTTCCCCTTCCCCTTCCCATTCTCCATAGCCCCATGTCCAGAAGGAGATGGGCTCGCTCTCTGTGGGCAGGCAGGTTTTCCCCACACCCTCATTCCCAGCTGTCCCCGCCCCAATATTGTGACATGCAGCTGCTTCCTGGCAGGGAGATCCAGCCCCGAGCACAGAGCCAGTTCAGGGCCCTTTGCAGAGCCAACCCACTCCCTCTCATCACCCCTCTGCTCTCAGCCCACTGGGCACAGACAGAGCTGCTGACATGGATGCCCCTGCTGGGCTGCAAGTACACCCTGCTGGCTCATGTCCATTGTACGTGTACTGCAGTCAACATTCTAGGATGATATACAAAAACAACCTCATTTTTGCTATATTTAAACACTTCTTCACCTTCCTTTACGCTGTATTATTTAAAGCTTTGCTCATTCATATGAACAACTGCAGAGCTCACCTGGCGCCTAACTGCCCGGAGTCTTTGTGGCAAGGTGTAACACCAGTTAGAAAAACAAAAAACATTTTGAAAGGGGACAGAATGGATCCCTCATTACAATGATTTCCTTCTGTTATGAGCATCCATAACAATTTTTACAGCTTACTAGTTGCAACTTGTATAATGTGAGGAGCACTGCCAAACCGTTCCATCCACCCCATAAGTTTGGTATTGCATTTGATACTTTGTATGCAGATGAACTGCAAGGAAGTCATTTCAGAAGAATGAAGGAATGGCAGTTATGATCACACAGCAATTTGTTTTTCCTCTAATTCTCAAGAGAGTTGTTTTTGTTTTTTGGTTTTTGGTTTTTGGTTTTTTTCCTTTTAAGTCTAACTTTATTCAACTTGACATTCAAAAGGCTGGAGTAGAAATCTCTAATTGTGTACTAACAAAACTGATTTGGGCATAGAATTTATTTTAAGACCAGGAAAAGGTTGCAACTTTTTGCATTAGGAACATACCACACTTTCATGAGGTACTGGACTCCCTTTTCTGCAGTATGTATAGCTTTGATTTATGATCTAGCAAATAGTTCTGTTTGTTATTTTCTTGACATACAATCTTCCACATATGCACAGCTGTCCACAGCACAATCACTATTCACATGAAAACAAGATCATTTTAGTAGTGGAAAACAAATGTAAAAATGTGAAATTCACCAGTATTTATCATTTTGTTTGCACAGTCTATGCTGAAGTGTTAACACTAACCAGAGATTCTGTTGCATGTCCAAGACACACTCCATCCAGCTTTGTGCCATATGAGACAGTCAGAGGCAACTGTTCTGTCTTTTCATTTCCTGTATCACAGCATTAGTTCCCTACCAAATGCATGAGTCTGCTGGAAATCAAGGAGACACAGACTTTGATCTGCAATAAAAATCGCAAACTAGATCTATTTACCCTTGAAACAACTTCAAAGTGATTGATTGCTCAGATAACAGCACTGATAGCAGTGTTACTGCCATAGTCAGCTTCTCATCAGAGGCGACTGCCCTGGATCAGGCGGCAAGTAGTAGGTTACTGTTCAACACATTTATTACTTCCCAGGTTTCTTCTTTTTACTTCCTGCATTACATTGTGGTTTGGATTTGTACTTGTAAGTCAAGCTGTAGCAGAAGGTCATGACAGAATATACCAGGAAGCAGTAGAGCTCTAGAGCTGAGAGCTGATAGGGAGAGAGAAACAAGGAGAGCCATGAAGTTGTGCACTGAAAGAGTAGGAAATGCTATAGGCAGTGGCTGATGGCCAGAAGCTGGGAACCCATTCAGAAGGGTGGGCAAGGGAATTGAGGCACACCTCTTTCAGGTGTGTGCAAGACCTGGCACAGGCAGGAGCTGCTGCTACTGTTCATCTCTTGCAATTAGACAGTGATTGTCTGCAATATCCCTCATGGCAATACATGGACAAATTAAGCCTGGTGTAGGTCTTGGTCTAAATTATTTACTTATTCTTACGAAGTTGCATTACAAATGTTAAAAACACTAGCTATCACAGCCGTGCCAGCAACTCTGAAGGTATAAGCATGACTGTGTTGAGAAATAATGCCTAATGCGATCTGACAGTGAGCAATACTGTGCCATTACCTGATGAATGCCCGGCTGCTGCTCGGACTCAAGAGTGGTTACAAGATAACGTCATTGCATTGCCATCTGGCGACAAACAGTGGAATTATCAACAAGAACTTTAACGGAATACATCAAATGAAAATAAAGATTGAAAGCCTACCATAGAATTATCTCTCTGGTCCCAGATGGACAGGATGACTTGGATTTTCTATTTTTAAACCAGGTAGGCAGGCCTCCTTTCTCTCTTCTCCTCAATACAAGCATATTTCAACAAGATAGATTTGTTGTGTTGACATGAAGAGAAAAATGTATGAATCACATTTCTAAAACAATCTGTACAACATAACAATCAGTAGCTACCTGCCGGCATACAGCTTATATATATATCTATATTAATGAATGACAATCCAGTATTTCAGAATTATCTGAATCTGAAAATCAGTCTTACTCCTTAAAAGTCTCAGGAAAACAAGGACTGAAAAGATACGTAAATATCTTTGTCTGTAAAATGTATGTCAGGCTGACAAAATTTTCTGATTTTCCAAAACTACTCACTATATATAATCAGTGCATACAATGCAATAATTTTTTATTGTTTTTCAGCATACAGCCTTTACCTGTTCCCTAGAACTTCTCACTAATAAAAGTGAGAAGTTAAAGCCTTAGGAAGCATTCCCCAAATACAGTCAGCCTTAAATTTCTCTCTAAGCAGTCATTGTCAGCACATCAGAGATTCCTAACAGGCTCTGGGATCAGTCAGTAGGAGCAGTTTGTAGGTGACGAAGAGGGCTGTGAATGCTGAAAGAAAACCACACCACACCCATGCTTTATTCAGGTGGTTTTCATCAAAAGAACTTGAGGCAAACTCAAGCAGTTGCAATTTGCTGCAAATCTGGGCACTTGACCTGATCAAAATAACCTGCAGGCCCCCGAGGCTTTCCCCTTTCTACTTCCTACTGTGCAAATTTGCATTCCTCTGGTCCCAAAGCCCATCTCTTAAGTCCTCCTCAATCACGTGACATGGGCAAACTTTAAACAGACTGGCTCTTTAACCCTGATATGAGCTGCTCCAAATCCCCAAACTCCCTTCTGTTCTTCATTATGTGTTTTGCACAGTATGGAAAGCACCCAGCACCAGTCTGCCTGTGGTTATGACCTCTGCAGAACAGCTGCCATCAGAATAATCACAAGCTATGGTGATGGAAACCTGCTACAGTGATCTCTGCAGTGGAATAATTGCTCAAAATTGCCATTGGTACCACACTTAGAAATACTAACTCCGTCACCCATTGGGTATTTCAGTACTTGTGACAACATTTATGATGTAGGAAGAATTTGTCACTGGCATCATGTAAGTAAAGGAAGGGCACTGGGCAGAAGATGAGGATTTTGCTACCAGCCACCGAGGATGAGCCTTGTAAATGCAGCATAGACCTTGATGCAGAGCTAACGTGGCTCTTTTGCTCAATGATGCATTTAGATGAAGGGCATAGAGAAGTGTTGACTCACCCCCCTCCCCCCCCTCTGGAGCACAAGTAGGAGAGGGCTGTGGCATTGCTCTGAGAGACTGTAAGAAATACCCTTTGGTCCAAAACATGATGAGGAGTATCATGGCAAATGCGTGAAACAGCGTGGCTGGAAATGGAGAAGGAAGGCTGGAGATGTTAGTGACAATTAATGCTCAAATGACAGCTAAGCATAAGACATAGCTGGTGATTACACTGTTGATGTTAAAGTAATGTTGTTCCAAAAATAGATTATCACAGTTTGTTACTGTGAAGATTTACGGGAGAGCGTGCAATTCTTTTCAGGGCCTTCTCTCTTGCCCCAGTGATTTTGAGTAAGATTTCACTGCATTAGCAGGCAAGAAGTATGTTGGGCTTTGAAAGAGCTGTCTATGTTCTGTTTCTTTAATTAAAAGGATGGATTTCTAGTCTGCACAATATGTTGATGATAGAATCATAGAATGTCCTGGGTTGAAAAGGACATCAAAGATCATCTAATTTCACTGCCCCTGCTATGTGCAGGGTCACCACTCACCAGACCAGGCTGCCCAGAGCCACATCCAGCCTGGCCTTGAATGCCTCCAGGGATGGGGCATCTACAACCTCTCTGGAACAACCTGTTCCAGTGCATCACCAACCTCTGTGTGAAAAACTTCCTCCAAATATCTAACCTAAACCTCCTATCTCAGTTTTAAATCATTCCCCCTTGTCCTATCACTGTCCACCCTCATGAACAACCGTTCCCCCTCCTGTTTATAAGCTCCCTTCAAGTACTGGAAGGCCACAATGAGGTCTCCCCAGAGCCCTCTCTTCTCCAAGCTAAACAAGCCCAGTTCCCTCAACCTTTCTTCACAGGAGAGGTGCTCCAACTCTCTGATCATCTTAGGGGCTTCCTCTGGACACGCTCCAAGAGCTCCATGTCTTACTTGAGCTAGGGTGCCCCTGGACGCAGTGCTGCAGATGGGGCCTCACAAGAGCTGAGTAGAGGGGGACAATCACCTCCTTCTCCCTGCTGCCCACCCCTTTTTTAATGCAACCCAGAACACAGTTGACCTTCCAAGCTGCAAGCACACACTGCTGGTTCATGTCCACTTTCTCATCTACTAGAACTTGGGGTCCACAGAGCTGCTCTCCAGGAGATCTTGCCCCAGTTTGAATAAATACCTGGGATTGCCCTGACCCAAGTGCAGCACCCTGCACTTGGCCTTGTTGAACCTCATTAAGTTCACATGGGCCCACTTCTCCAGCCTGTCTGGGTCTCTCTGGGTGGCTTCCCTTCCTCCCAATGTACCAACTGCACC